ATTCTTGCTCACTCTCTGCCTGGAAGCATGTATCAGAAGCATGCTCGAAGAAAAATTGCAGCTAAAGATGTGAGGGATCTGTAATAACACAGGAACTACTACCATCCTGCTACAGGATTGTATATTCTCTGACATGCACATTTTAAAAGGAGCCTTAACCAGGGATTTTTACTACATTGGCTGTAAAATTATACATGTACTGTAAATTTTCAGAGGAATGGCAGTGGAATGATTAGCTTGGCTTCTCTCTCTGGCAAGTCATTCTTCCCCTTGCACCTTTCCATGACTTTGTGGTAATTAAGAGGAAACAAGAATAGGCTGAGAAGCAATCAGAAATGTGTTTTATTTCCAGCTGTTTCTCTGTTTCACTAAATATCTCCACTCATATGGCAAATATTACCCATATTCAAAGGCTTCACATACATGGCTGATGCATTCCCTCACAGAGAAAGGTACAGAGCTGTTAAGTAACAAACCTCTATTATACTGCTGTTTGTCACGACTCGTGTTCAGCAAGGTGCTATTCAGCAGATTAATAGCTTCTCAGATATTATGTGCTCCTTCACAGAATGAAACTGTTGGTTCAATTTCAAGTAATTATCTCATTTAATTGGTGTGGTTTGCAATACTGATCTGCTAAAGACACTAGATGAGTAATTCTAATTTGGGAATAATCAAGTACTTCCCCCGTGAGTATTCTTTTCCTCGAATATTATCCGCCACGGACTCACAGATCTAGTTCACATTTTTATGCGACTCAGATGGGTGGACATAAAGTTACAACAGCAAAGCGACACAGCCCTGTATAATACAATATATAGCACATATTCTCAGATCACTGTGTGTGCAATCCATGACTGGGAGTCAAAAGTCTATTCCTGAGTCACTAATTTAGCTGGGAATATATTTAATCCACCTTTGTAAGGACAAAGGTTTCCTTTCTCTAAAATGGGTAGGCACTGCATACCATATTTCGTAGGGGGTCTTAAGGCACGGACAGCCCGAAATCTGTCAAAATGGAGGGACATAACAACTAGTTAAAACTAGGAAACAAACATAATTCACTAATATTCCATGTGACCCACCTTTTTCTTCAGGTTTCTGAGTCAGTTTCCTGGCAGATGAGTGCTCAGGAAGCTGAAGCCACAGCTTCAGAAAACAGCCTGAAGCCATCAGATGCTTACCTAATGCTGGCAAACAGAATCCAGCCCAGTGTGCTGGCACCAAGAGGACACCAGAGAGTCAATTCCCACAGCTGACTCACTGTTGGCTTTAGGCACAGTACAAAATGTATTGTTTTGAAGAAGGCTGGACCAGGGTTGTCTGCTCCATGACACATACGCTTGCTAACTTCTCCAGGGAGGCCACAGAGACAGAGCTGGTCTCACTATGAATCTCACACTATGAACCATGTGATATGGGGGTTTTTTACAGCATCAAAGATTATGCCTTTATGACAATAGCAGGAGAACTTCATGCTTTTTGATGTCCCTTGCAAATCAAGGTAATAAGCACTAATACAAGTTCATATATAACAGACTAGAGAGGGGATCGCCCTGGCACAGAACCTGAAGGTATTCACACATTGAAGGCTGTGGCCCATGAGACCTGTAACACCAGCAGAATCTGCCCCATGAATAACAGAAGGATGGAGGCTCTGTGGAGACTGCCAGGCATGTGGTGCTAAGAGTCACTACCATCCAAAGCTTTAAATGGCAAAGTCTACTTCATTCTCATGAAATCACCACTGCAAGAGGCCCTTCATCTGCCCTGAGAAGCAGCCCAAAAGCTGCATACCTGGTCTGTGGAAATCAACCTCTCCAGGTAATAAAATTCTGCTTCTACATCCATTCAACTACTGTTACAATCCAGCAGCCAGAAACTGAGTGAATTAAGAGAGTGAAAATAATTGACCTCTTCTAAACTGATCACGAAACAGGTCTCGTTTTATATAAGGTGTTCAGTAGCCTCCAAGTAACAAGAACTGGTCATGAGCAGCTGACAGAAATTAAGCCTGTGATAGGAGCTCAAGCAATCTCCACAGTCTGTAATGGAGACAAATCTTCTCTCAGGGGCAGGTAGGCAGAACACACAAACCTTGCACTGATTTCATCATCCACCAGTGTTAAATCCAGGGTAGAGATTATTCTCTTTCATTTCCTTCTCTTCAGGGTAAGGCACTTTCCTCTCCCTACAAGGATGGGTTTTCTACCGTATTTTTGTTCCAAAGTAATCTCCACTTGATTTTCTCTATGTCTCACATAAAGTCCCAAGGGACTGAAGTACAGTACACTCCTACTTTTGCCAAGTGTTTGCTCAGCTATATCCTCTGTCAGCCCATGCTGCAGGATTCCATGCCCAATAACAATATGATCTTTTTCACATGGCACCTATATCCTCTGTTGACACATATCCTTTATTTATTCTGTTCCTTCTCCCTATGCACTCTGTAGGATCACTGTGCACTTATTCATTGCTTTTGCCAAGCATTTGACTAGTCCAAGAAAGTGATACAGAAAGACTGTACCAAAAACGATCAAAAAAAGCATCTCCCAAAATAGACTTAATCCTTATGTTTGCTCTCCCTTTCACCAAACTGCCTGCTGGCAAAAATTCACATCCCTGTTCACTGGTATGCTTTTTTTGGCTGCTGGTATCTTGGGAACATCTCAACAGCTGGATTTTGTGCAAACCTATATTCATATGATCTCATTGTGTTCTCATATATGGCCATTTCCAAGATGAATGTGCTGAAAAATGCTTTCTCTGATGATAATCAGTTACTAACTTTTCCAAAACCAAACACATTTGTATAATATTCTTTCTTCTCTCTTACACTGACAAATCTGTTTTGCAATTGAATGGGTGTTGTCACGCACTCTGGATTTTTTATACTTCGATTGCTAGTTAAGTTGTCTTACCCTGCAGCTTCATTCTGAGTACTTATAAATAACAAAAGTAATCTGAGGTAATTAACCAAGATTACTAAATATCTCAGGACAGGTAATCCTCCTGAAAAACCAGAATCCCACTTGGCAGAAGTATTCTTTCTGGCTGCATTTCCCTGCAGTGGAAAAAACTTCTCTCTGCTTACAGAAACAACCCCTGGAGCATAATACTAGAGGAAAACCCACACTATTTTGTTTAGTTCTCCATGGCTATCAGACCAGCACCTCACTATGGTCAAACATAACACAGTATGCAAAAATATGCAGCAAGTGCCTGAGAGGGACTGAACTGTTCCAGGAGCCTGAGAGTAATTCAGGAGGAACCTCAAGGAAATGTGCTGTAAAGGGGGTGAGCAGCCTCAGGAAAGGTGGTCTGGAATGGAAATTGCCTTATTTTTTTTATAGTGTGTTGAAGGGAAAACTGATTCAATGAACATTCATTGCTTTTTAATAGTATGGCACAGAGGATGGCAGAGAGAGCACATGGAAAAGCATCCACAACAGGCTCCTTTTGAATTGATGCAGTGGGTGATTCTGCTTAAGGAAGGACAAAGGTAAAGGACAAAGACATTCAGAAAACAGCAGCCAGCTATTCACAAATATTCTTCTTCTGCTCCCAAGCCTCCTCTCTTCAAAGCACAGGCAACACACAGAGAATGTCCCACTTCAAAAATCATAGCCTACCATTTCAGCATCTCACATTCAAACACAGGGCTAAAATGAGGGTGGACTCACCATTACCTTCTGCAGCTCTCTTTTAAAGGTGTATTTATAACAAAATTAAGATTTATGTAACTTTTCACCAGGCATGATCAAATTTATTCTCAAAACAAGAATTCAAATTGCAGTATTGCTACATAGTGATTTAAGCCAAAACACCCAGAAAAACACTGCCACTCCAATTTTCATAGCTAATTTCATTTTCATTTCATAAAAATGTTAACTCATTCACACCAACCCTGAGAGCTCAATAAACACCGAGGTTGTTCTGTGCCCTGTTTTGCTCAGTGCCTCATTCAAGTTACCAGCTAAATTCCAATCACAGAATCTGTATTACCAAGGTTATTTTGCCTTGCAACTGAGCTCACAACCTAAGTTGTTATGGCAGTCCCTGAGGGTGATTATACTTTGAACTCTAAGATAGCATATCTACAGGCTCACTTTCAGTTATTCAAATAACTTGATTTTCTGACTGTTTGGGAGGTGGTAATGACCAAAGAAATCTGTTCTAGTTTGCAGGATTTGTTTTCAATAGTTAAAACACTGTTTATCCTGGACAATGGCCTTTGGGATTAAGTAGCATGCCTTAATGGCCTCTCACCTTTTCCTTGCAACATTTTGAAAAAGGTAACTCAAATGAATATGAGGAACAATACCGGGAAGGAGATACCTTAAGTCTAGAGGGGTCAAAGGTTGATGCTTATCCAGTCAGCACCCAGGAACCCACAAGACAAAAACAACATCCAATTAAGATCCTGCTAAAAATCACACACATCGTCAGACTACCATGAGCAGTGCTACTTTTGCACTTGATGTTACAAAGCCCAACCTGTTTCAAGAATCTGCCAAACTGAGGAGAGCTCAAATGGCTCCTCAGGAGCTCCTATGATACTCTCCAAACATAAAGCATCACAGACAGTTGCCACCTCCCATGTACTGCCCAAGAAAGATGTTTCCACACTCTTCAAAATGAGCAAATTCGTAAGCTCACAAGATCTAAAGGTATTGTGTTTTCCAGTGCTCCTGCCTTCCCTGCCCTAGATGAAAACCTACAGGGAAAGAAATAACCAGCACCCCTTCCTTCTCCTTTCTCCCTTCCTTTCCTTGCCCCATTTGCTGTATTTTATAGGATCCAAAGCTTTTTATTGCATTCCAGTTGTAGTCTGGGTAAATAAACACAAGGGTAAAAAAACAACTTTGGGGAGACTGGACCACTGCCAGCTTGCCTGGATAGCTGGGCTGTGCATGGAGCTGGAAGGGTGTTTTTTAAAAGGAGGGAAGCAGCAGAGAACAGCTTAAGAATCTTGGCTCAGCCTGGGCATATTTCCGCCTAACTCTGGCTAAACCTCAGCACGAACGGCTGGATGAGGAGTGGATACACAGCTGGGGAGGGAGGGAGGGAGGCTGCAGGGCTCTCCACCAGAACTGCAGCAGAGCCCAGCGAGGCTGAAACCATGCTTTTCCTTTGGGCAGTGGCATTTATTTTAGTCCTGCAGGAGCAAGATCTTCTAGGTAAGTAATTCTGAACTTGCAAAGCAGAAGTTACAGCTTAATCGTAGCATTGTTAAAGCCTGTGCATGGGGTGGGAGAGGGAGGACAATAATTGTTCACTGTATTGGTTTTATATGAAGGTGACACAGGTATGCATCAAAATTCTGTGGGAATATTGTTTTTAACAGAAAAAATCAATTTTTATGCTATTAAACTCCACCCTGTAGACATATTGTTTTGGTAGAGATTTTTTACTTCTTACAGGAGATACTACCACTGTATCTTCAGAAATTCAGAACTACATTGAGGTGTGGCAGCCAGTGCTCTGAATCCCCATCATTACTGTTCTGGCAACCTTATTAACATACTAACTAATCCACTCAGAAATGAGATTGCAGTTCAAGGTGATTAGAGAAAGATTCTCCTTTATTCATACCCTTCTTTTAAAATTTGCTGGTAACAGCACCACATTTTTCTTTCTTCTGCTTTGGATTACTTATTCCTGAGATTCTGAGGCACTTAATGCCTTCTCCAAATAACTTGGGAGTACAAAGTATAAACACAGAACATCTGATAAGCCTGCATCTGAATTCTACTTTCATTAACACAAGATTACTGCTGGAATAACCTGTAATCACAGTGATTAGTGTGACCATTCAGTTTGGCTAGTTCAAGGGTTTATAGTCCCCGTGTAACCACAAACCCAGCTTCCCAGCCTGTTTGTACTATATCTTTTCTTCTAGCTGAGGCCCAGATTTATTTCCCCTCTGCTCCTACTTCGTGACAACACAAGGGTTGTATTTCATGGCAGGGTAGTAAGATCCTATTACATTCAAAACATTTCCTGAAAAACTGTTAGCCCCTGCTTCCCCCAGGTCCTGGTCCTCTTCCTTGCCCTGACTCCCTCCCACCTAACCAGCTTTGTAATGTTTATCAGCCATGAACTGAAATATCAATGCCCCAGCAAAAGCATTCTTGTTTTCACTCCACAAGAATTCATTATCCTTTTGTGAGTTTTGCAAGCTTCACCAAAATAAATGTGAAACTAAATAAAAATTAAAAAAAAAAACCCGGAAGAATGTTTGGGTTTATTCCCCCAAAAAGTATGGTTTTAAGCTAAAATCATTAGCAAACTCAGGTAAAATCCAGCTAAACAGAGTAGTACTTGAATATTAACTGCAGTAGAGACTAGTACCCAATATAATGCCAGATGGTAGCTACTCAGTCAGGGAATCATGTTTGCTGTCTCAATGGTATACTTCATGTAAGATGGAAAATTTTGTGTCTATCATGGCCAGAGGAGCACCCTACCTGGCTGACAGGCTTAAGAAAATCATCCCCACTTTTCCTTTGCTATCTTTGGCTTGTGAGAAACCTAACTTTTGATTTCCTTGCAGATCCCCCCATCCTAACTCCTGCAGGTTCCTCTTAGAAATTATTCAGATTTGGCCAAATCAGAATTTACATTTTAATTCAGCCGTTAATATAAACAACCTCATATTCAGAGAGCTCAGCCTCCAAATCATTCAGGAGAAGAGGCTGGCACAGGGGCCCTTCTGGATGCAACCACATGCTCCTGCCTAATGGCCACAGTTCATAGTGCTTTGCTCTTGGTGCTGGGTTAGTTTGTGGGGTGCTGCCCAAACACAGTGTACAATGTAGCCTGGGGAACAATACCTGCCCTACTTAAACGTGTTTCCATTCTTATAAAAACCTCCAGGCAAATTGTTCCGAGGGGTGCAGCGCCCCAACAGCGAAGTCTTTGCTCCATGTTTATCCATGGCAGAGAGGTGACCTGGAGTCCTCGGGTAAACAAGTACCTGGCACGCAGGGTGGCCCCACTGGCATGTGCCATTCAGCTGAGCAAACCAAACACTGAGCGCTCTGCCAGGGAGGCAGCAGCAGGAGGGCCTCAGTGGAGGCACTGCTGCTCTGTACTCCACACTGTGCTGTGATTTGCTTTTAAACAGCACAAGTTCCATTCACTTTTAATTACAAGTTAAAGTAAAACAAGCGTATTCATGTTTTTTTTCAGCTAACGTGTTATGACTTCTCAGGATATTTTGAATCCTCTGATGTTTACATGCAGTATCAAAGCTGGGAAGATCTATAAGCTAGACCATTGCCTAGAAATTGAAAAGAAAAAAAATCCCTTCAGAACAGCCAGCTTTTCCCTTCTGGGGAAGGGAAAGGACCATTTGCCTTCTCACAGAAGAGCATTTTGTCCCCAGGAGATAAAACCAATGCATTCTAGAACTAAAGCCACAGTAAAAATTTATGTTAGGTGTCCTATCTTAAATCATACTTGGACTCATATTTCTCTACTAACAAAGTAGTAATGGTTTATAACCTATACTGTAGGTTATAAACACTATAACACTATAAACACTGTAGGTGTTTTCTGTCCCTGCAAAAACTTATCAGCATTATTGTCTCCAATGCAAGGATTACAGTCTTTGCAAAACTCATCTCTGAGATACAGCTAGGAAGGAGATATAAAGCTTGTCACAACAAAGTGTACTAAGAAATAGGTGTGTTTGTTAAGACCATGAAACATCTGAAGATAGGGTTCTCTACAGAAGTGAGCCTTTTTACAGATTTTACATATCTGTAAAACCCTATGATTTGTTACATTTAGGTAAAAGGAATTTATTAAGTTCTGAGGACTTTGTAACCTCCATGTGTAAAAGCAAAAGTTAATTCCAAACTTCAAAAAAACTCAGGAGTTTAGAAATATAGGACTCCTGCTATTCACCTGCAGGATGTGACTCTATCCACAAATGCAGCTGATCTGCTCTGGTTGAAACAGTTGTGAGTCTTGGCCATGAATGCCAAGATTTAGTACGTACACATGTACATATTCACTCACTATTCTACTTCTTGAGCTGTTGCAAAACACATGAACTGTCTGCCAAACAAAATATCTTCAAAAAATTCCTAGGCTTAAGTATTAGGAAAAAAACTACAATATCATTTCATTGTACTTACCTCTTTCTACTACCATGACTTAGCCATATGCAAACTACACAATCACAGAGCTGACTAATAAGTCACAGACTCGCCTTACCCACTCCCCATGACTGTAGCTCCTATGACTAAACACAGACCAAAAGCCATGTCCTCAAAGTTGAAAAACTGTTTATTCCCTGATACAGTGGTCACCCTCAAATTGATGGTGGCATCCAATATTTATGCATCTCACGTCCTCCACCCTCAAGCCAGCCTTAAGTTCACTAAGTCTACACAACTTGGGTTCTTTATGTACACTAAGACAGAGCACCTTTTCTTCCTAAAACAGCTCATCCCCTTCTCCACACACAAGGAAGTCTTCTACAGCTACTAGCTATAATCTTCCTAACACTTAGCTTTAGTTTCCATGACAAATATATATTCACACAGAAATAAAAACATAATAAAGGCAAACTTGTTTGTAGCCCAAAGCATCACTGTAAGTTACACCATGAATTAGAGTAACGTACCTGCAAATTACATCTCTTATCAGTCCAATTCCCTGTAGTCCTTTTCCATTGCAGCAGCAAGTGTAAGAGGATATTCCTGGCTGCTTGTTCAGAAGACCATCATGCTGGAATCATACTCCAAGCCAACAGCTCCCTCACAGGAACATTTAATTGCTGTCCTTCTTCCTTTGAATGAAAATATACAAAACTTAAGTGCTTCTTAAAATCATAGACATGGTCACACAGCAGAAAGAGGAAAGTAGTTTTTCAAGTGGCAGTTTTGCTTCTGGCAGACAGCCACGGCAGGGGCCCAGCTTCTGATGTGCCTGAAAAAAACAGTGCCCACTGGCAGCATGAACTATCCCTGGCCTTGTGCACTCTGTCTCCACTGCTGGGTAAGCGAGAGATGAACCTCCCTTATGAAATAAGAATTACATGGATCACTATACCAAAAGCTTCCTCCAAATGAGATAGTTTTACACAGAAATATGTAAACAACAACTTCTAACAAGTCCCATTTCTGACTGTGCAAATTTCACAAGCACAAGTGATGCACAGTAGGACCAGAAGACATTGTATCATGACATCTCACACATAGATGGATGGGACAGACTAGTTAGAGATGTGAGAACTGGTAGGCTGATACCTGACCCACCTTCACTAACACATTCCACAATGCATGAGATTTCCCCTTTGGTCCTGCTCTTTCAGGGAAAAAAAGAATTAAAATAAGTACAATCTCAACCGATCCAGGATCTGAAATAATATTCATAGTAGCATATTCTACATCTTAATAAACACAGTATGAACCAGTCTGGAAGTCTGGAACTTGACTTTCTGATGTGGTTATTTAGCTTCTAAAATGAATATTAAAAATAATTAATTTCCTGGAGGACACTTATTTCAAGCCCCTTCTGTTATCAGAGGCTTGTGAATCTTGGATACCAGAAAATCCCTTAGATTTTCTTCCATGTCTGAAATCTTTCCAAAACTTGGCAGTTAGGCAGCAGTTGAAGTATTCAGTGAATATACAGATTACAGATTAACCCCCAATCAGGCATTAAACATTTTCAATGTACCTTCTTGAAATAATTTAAAAAAAAAACCCAAACAAACCAATCTTACCACAACTCTTAAATTTCAGATCTTTCTACTGTCAGTTTTCTGTCTAATATACAATGCCTACTTTCCATCTCCCACTTTAGACAGACCATATTTACCCTGTATGAAATTTGCGATGTAGTTCTGCCATAAAAGCTAGAACCTAACAATGGTGTGTGTACATTAAAATATTTACATGCATACACATATATAGTTGCATGCAGATATAAGCAAACCCATGCAGCCACCCCCAGTGTGAAACATAGCAACCTATGGCAGTGTATAAGCTGCTAAGATATTTTTAAATATTTATTACAATCCCTGTAGTCTTTAATGCAATTTCTAAAGGCAAGAATTCCTTTATCTTTGAGCAAATAGAGACTCTAAACTGTAAAAAGAGGTTCACAGATGCCTAAATCACAGCTAAGCATTAGTGTTTTATGGATTACAGCCTGAAAGACGCTCTAGGTCCAGTTAAAGATATGCTCCTGAGTGGATAAGAACTTGAAGGGTATCTGTGCATTAAAAGCATTTTCCATAAAACACTTGCTATCCAAATCAATTATTTTTGATGTCCCAACAACAAAATTTTATATGGCTTGAGTTATATATAACACAGCTTAAAATGAATTCAGGCACTGTGGTGATAATGAAACCGGGAGTGCTACAGAAAGTTAATTCAGTACTTCTGTATCTAAGGATGTCAATGTAATTAAGGGTTGACATAAACTAAGTTTGATGCCTTCAAGAACAGCCCCCAAAATGAAATATGACCAACAGTCTTGGCTTAACATGGTCTTCGGTCTGAAAGCACTAGTACTGATAGTATAAGTATCAACTCAGGTTTAAAGGAATTGGACCTTTCCTGAATTCAGCTGAAAGTTGTCTTCACCAACCACTTTTATAAACTGTGTAATTTCTTGAGCTAACATTTCAAACTTATGTGCTCATATTAAAGTGGAATCCAGCACTGTTGCATTCTTCCCAAACTGGTTAGTGGGTTCACCATTTGAGCCTGGTACTCCATTTCATGACCTTGAGTTCATGATTCCCATTCATTTTCTCATCAAAAGCTGCCTGGCCACCTTATGCTACATGCTCCAGGAATGAAATGATACTGCTAAGCAGTGCAAACAAGAACACACAGCATAGTATGTTTTCTTGAAGAGTTATACATGTTCTTCATTCCCCCTGCTCTATCACATGTTTTCAGGCTTCCTCGTTTGCCATCTGGTTCCTGTTTCAATCTCAGGTGCCTTTCTCTTGGCTTGTAGCCTGCTTTGTTTTACCCCTCCCGCCCCACTGAGCACAACATGAACTCACAGTTAACTTTCAAAACCACACTGATCATACAATGAGGCAAAAGGAATTTTACCGATTTTAAGGCCAATGGGGAACACCGTGGTCACTCACCTTGACCTTCTCTGTCACACAGATCGATGAACCCAACCCAGGGATCTCCAGATCAAGCCTGTAACTTCAGTTTGACCAGCAATGTGTCATTAGGAAGGATACTTATAAAGACCTACCAGATCTGTATGATTACACACTTCAGTGCTGTTGGTCCCAGTAACAGCAGAAAATGACAGCAAAGGAGACACTTGCTCAGGTTTATTCTGATGTTTACCATTAGCAACTGCTTGGATGATAAAAATGAACCACTTAGCAGCACCTGGATACACAGAACCTTGACAGACCTAAAAGGGGACATCTTCAGGGAGCATGTAGAAGTAATATCTTGGGGGGGGTGGGGGAATATATATCAAATGTAGAGGAGGCAGAGGAGCTTAACTTAGAGATATTATCAGTCTAAAGCCTCTGCTCTTAACCTGTTTGCTAAGGTTGTTTTGATTTTTACTTCATTGCTCTATCTATCCCCTGCTATAAGATCAGGTTTTGTATGGTCAGGCTGACCATTGTACATAGATCCTTACTCTTCATCGTGCTACTTTCAAACTTTAAGCATGTTCTTCTATTAAACATACCCTTATTAGCAACCAGCTCAGAGATGCTCCATTTCCCTGCTGGTGTCTGACTGCATCACAGCACAGGGCAGCTAGAACTACCCAGATTTATGGGCACCATTAGAGTAGCACAGAGGACTTAATCAGAGGAAAAAAGGCACAGGTGGTTTTCTTCTCTTGAACAAGACAGTTCTGGTTCTTGATGTAAAATAACCACCCATATATCAAATAGAATGGACTTCAAGAATTTAACTAAACATCTCACTTGCAGGAAACATCAGGGGGAGATTTGCAGATGGGATGTTAACTGAAAGGTAATGTTCTCTCTGCCATACTGAAATGTTACAACTGTCTGAGTGAAATAATCTATTAAGTTTCAAATGAGAGATTTAAGACATTGAAATATGCCTCCTACACACTTGCCTAAGCTGTCAGAAGTTGCAAACACCCACACATTTTAAATATGTAATTTACATGGCATACAAAGAACATTTCACTTTTAAAAGTGGTTAGCTTTAAAACTTACTACCAGTTTTCTGTATTTATGCATGTGATTCAAAATATAGGCAAGCAAAAATTCCAATTTACATTTAAAAGTTTTTTCTGCTTCAGAAAGTCACTTTGCAGATTTAAGGTCTTGTATCAGAATCAAGGTGAAAGAAGTCCCAGTAGAGTGCCAACCATGTCTTTAGGTGATTTCAAAAGGCCAAAGTCTCTGGGTCAATCTGGCTCAAGCAGGACACACTTCTGCTTCTCCTACAGCACAGGTCTGGGCTTTCTTTAATGGATGAGCATGGTATAAGGTGCATGGTCAGAGAAGTGGCCAACACTAACATGAGCTAGCCAACATTAACTCTCTTGCATTTCCATTTCTAGGGAAAGGACAAAACTAAGCAAGCCTGGCATGTAGATTATGGCTGGCCAGAAGCTCCTTTAACATCTGCATACAACTGGTGCTGGCCTTCACCCAAACTTTACCTATGCCCTTGTGATCCAGATAGCTACATCTAGGGTAACATCGTAAAAAATAAAATCTCAGCAGATTCTTAAATTCCTCCACTTGCTCTCAGTCCACATAGTGATTTCTGCTGCCTCTTTTCACAGTTCATTTGTAGTTAGATCTGGGAATGCTCCCAGCAGCCAACTGATCCACAGTTATCTCATCACCATGCCTTCTGCTTGCCCTTGGCTCTGTCTCCAACACAGTGAGTAGCAGTTCAGCATACAGCTGAATTGGGCCACTGGGCTTGACACTGAGAGCTAGGGCTGGGAATATTGGAAAGGTGGAAATTTTATTCATCTCTGACAGTAAAATAGATCTTGCTATTATCCTATTATTAGTAAAACTAAGGTTTGTAGACAAAGAATGGCCACTATTTTGTAACATGTATTTCTAACACAATTTCAGTCTCTCCACACTGTTCCAGTCATGAGGGGAAAAAATGTAAAGAAATAAAAATTTTGAGAACTAGCATGGTTCATTACCATTACATTAGATGATAACAACACTCATAAACCACTACTATGAGCAGCAAAGAAGAAAAAAAGGGCAATTGCAAAGCAGTTGTTGTTGAAGTACCTGCTGTATTTCTGCACTCTTCAGTAGATGAAGTCTTTGGAATTCCATCCTAACAGCACCACCACCTGGTGAATGCTCTAACAAAACCCCCAACCAAACCTCTGCCAAACCAATTGCTAAATAATGTCCAGTACACCAGGTCACATTTTAATTCTCTCCTCCTCCCTGCCCTCCAGTTCCAAGGATGCCATTCCAACTCACAGTACAGCTCTCATCCCACTAAACTGCAATGATTACAATCCTTCCTGACAACGTGTTTGCTGTCATTTGACACCTGCACTCCAGAAACCTTGGCACAGACTTGCAGTGAAGCACTGCAGCAGTTCCAAACCACTGCTCTGGCACAACAGTACTGAAGTTGCTTGTGTTTCTCACTGTTTGTTATAACACAAGCTCATAGTTTTCTCTTTGTTACAAATGATGACAGAATGAGTTATTGCTGCTTTTTCACTATCATAGCTGCTCTAAGCCTCAAACAAGAGCAAGACCTAACTTTACATGGGGCAAGATACGTTATCACTTTAGTGAGGCTTAAAATAGTCTGCAACAGTTCTACACACGTATTAAAATCTAAATGTTACTGAATGTTGCACAGAAGTTATGGAAAGGACATTGGCTCCACTAAAGCATGGACACCAGCAGGTACTGACCTTTCATGGAACAGAGCCAGCAGGATGAAAAGTTCAAAGAGCAAGAGCTCATGAGTACTGAGAGGTAAACACAGGTCAGTGAGAGATAAGTGACTTCGTGTATAGCAGCATATATGAGTGACTTGGTCAGCAAATAACATCAGCTGTACATACTTTCATTGTTTCTCTTCACATTGCAAAGTCAGATTGTCAGGGACAACTTTCTGGCACAGAGCAATCATCAGCCATCATCAGTATCCATTTGGAAAGTGGACAAAATCAGCTACTTTTCAAAGCTTTACCGTACCAGCTGCTTCTGAAGAAAGTCCAAGAGTAACTGCTGTGTAAGGCATATCTTCCCAACGCTTACGTTTTATACTTGCAGAGACAGAGTTACAGTCTATAAACTTACCCCACACAGGTAGGAAAAAAGCAGACTGTGTAAAACAAATGCACAGATAAACAAAAACACCCATGGCAAGAGAAAACACCTTGTTCTAATGAACTGACATGTGCAGGCAGGGAGACACTCACAGCGCTGGGGCATCGGCGAGAGGTTCAGTTCCTACATTTGCCTCATGAACAATGCTGTTTAGCATGCAAAATTCCAATTCAGAAAGGCAAGGACTGCTATTTAAAAGCTCCTGCTATTTAACTGTGTCTGTTTTTCCAGTTGCTGCAGATCCTGCCGATGAGTTACCCGGAAGTTTGGGAAGGGGAAGCTGGTGTGATGAACATGATACGATCCACGAACGCTTAGATATTATTGAAGAGGTAAGAGGAGTTGTGCTGGCTCCTGAACCTTACCAGACCTCTGTCCTATTCTTTTGGCCCAAGAAAAAGAATAATATTTCTACACAGCATCCCTTCATTACTTTATTCTAGTCAAGGTCAGACAATTTTTTTTCAGATGTCATAGCTTGCAACTATCTATAAAGCCATTATCACCGGAAACATATAATCTTGATGATTCCAAAAAATTAATTAACCAATCACTGACTGTTGTATATCAGACTTTTCTAAAATGTTTATAATTGTGCCTTTAATCCAACAATCTCAGAATTGATGTTGGTAAAGTTTCACACTGGCTAATAGCTAGATGTGGTTCTGCAGGTGACTTCAAGACTGATGGAGGAGTTTCTGCTCACCCCTGCTGACACTCAAGAGCTAAATGAATTCTATGACTGGGATTCTATGAAAGCAGTAAAGTTTGGGGTTTTTCCCCTGCTGTCTTAAGCACTCCCAAGATACAAGCTAACTATTCTCAGCTGGGTAGTTGCCAAACTCCATGCTGTTGGTTCTTAAAATGGCAATGTTACCTTTCTTCTGCTCTAGTCCCAGCCCTCTTCTTTACACCCCATCAGATCCTCTCATCTTCCACACAGATTCTTTTATTGGAGATGATGGGGGCTCAGAAATAATAAAAATCAAAAACAAATTAATGTAAAGCTCCCTCCAAGAAGTCAAATGATGGGTTATTCTTCATACAGGAGTGCTGTAATGCAAGTCTTGCAAAACAAAGTGCTAATACTTAGTGCCACTAGAGGCCAGCAGAACACAGCAAATATTTGAACCTGCAATGCGCAATATAAATTAAACCAGCTGTCAGCATTATGGGACATTGGGTTTACACATTCCTTCCACTTGACCCTTTGACTACCTCCTTTTATCCACTTGTCTCCCTTGTTTCCATTAGAAAGTAATAAAAACAGTGGAGCACCTGGAGTCAGAAGTCAAATCACTCCTCAACATCATCAACGAGACAACATCGAACATCCCCATCGTCCCAGGAACTCCACTTATAGACATTTTTGATGGTCAGTATCTAGCTGAGTGTAACCTAAGCTGAAAGAAGTGTTACATATGTTACTACCAAATATGCCATCTTTTCTTGCCCAAGATGATCTCACTCCTTCGTTCAATTAGGGTAGTTAAGGCCTCAGCTGAAATACTGAGTCCAGTTTGAAACACCAGGTTTCAACAACCACTAAAGAAAGGGCTGGAAAAAAAAGGGGGGGACAGACTAAGCAATCTCAAGGTCTCTTACACTTTTAAGATGCTGTGATTCTTTAGCTTCACATGTGACAAGATAACAGAGGGTAACAAAATAAATTAAAAAAAAAGTACTGGAGATATTATCACTTTGATATCTTAAATCCAACTTTGAAATGCAAGCCCTTCACACAAAATGTGCTTCTGGATAGATGTTTTTGCAATAAATTAAACTACAACAGAGATTAGTTGGATGAGACCACCTATTCTACACAGCTTCTTACAATGGTCTCTCCTCTTCATTCTCTGCCCAAATATCAACAGTGCATTTAACAAGGCGAGACACACTCCTGGTGGAAAACAAACCACTTGTGGAAAGGTATAAGCATCCACAGACATGCTTATGAAGTCAGTTTTGTCAGTGTTGGGTTTTTTGTTTGTTTATTTGTGATAGCTGTACATGGGCATGCCATAGTTCACTTACATGACAGAAGATGGGCTCGAAGTAGACAGTAGAGGTGATGCTGGTTTTTAGTTCTTGCAGTTGCTATACTGATCTGGTCATCATGATTGATATGTCCTCACCAACTTTGTTACCCATTTAAATTTCCAGTTTTCTCTGAGGGGCAGTAAACAGGTAACTAAGTAATTAAGTTACTCCCCTGCAATGGAAGAGAGTATTCCAATAAAAGTGAAAAGTATTCCAGTAAAGTGTAACAGTGAATTTAAAATGGAAATCCTGGGTCAACCCCAGCACATCTGCAGCACATCTATAGTAAGTACTACTCAGATGGAGCTTGCAACAACTGCCAAATGGCTCAAGAATTACAGATCAGATCTTCCTTCTATGATTTCATGAATCCAAGTAACAATTCCCCACTTTAGAGTAGCATATTTGAAAAGAGATTTATCCAAAAAAGATGGATCCTGATCTCGTAACCAAAAATAATTACATCAACTCTTCTTTATACAGATACCAGCTGAGCACTGCAAAGACAGAAGACAGGTGAATGTAACTGTGGTTGTCATCAACAGTTGCACTTTTGCTCATTTAATAAGCTTGTGTTTCCAGAATTTGTGCAGGGATGAACAACCCTCAGCTGTAGTTCGCCTTCTGTGTTCCTGTGCTTTATAATAAACAGGTATTTGCTTTTAGACAGCGTTTCAAAGCTTTATATTTAACAAAACTGCATTTCAAATACAGCATTGTCAGTAAGAAAACAAGATCAGGTGGTGTCTGTGACTACAGCACAACTAACGAACTTCCCTGAATTCAAAAGCTTCCTTCTTCCCTGGCAAAGAAATGAACTCTTGCTATTGGTGCTAACCAATGAAGATACACTTTCAGCTGCAGTTTCCACTCAAGACATGCTCAGATTGTCTGACAGAAATGAGTGTATGGAGCAGTTTGGCTTTGGACATAAGTCACGTTGCTGCCACTGACTGAAACAGGAGTCCTGTCAGCACATCCTGGCCAGAATTTGTCATGTGGACACACGGCTACCATATTCTATAATCTCTACACTCTTCTCCCTTGCCATACTGACAAAACAATCAAGAATTAAATCCACGACATCACCATTTTCTTTCAAGACAAACAGCAACACAACTTCTAGGAAAAAGGACCTGCCTGGTCCTTACACAATAGAGACAGTGCATGCCTATGAGTGTGAAATAAGAGGGGTTTGCACGTTCTTGATTAACAAGCAGCCTATTCTCACTGACCTAGTTAGAAAAAACTCTTCCCCCTTGTACTTTTTTCCTCTAGATGTTTCTATTTTTGAGAATGACAAGCTGGAGAGATGCCATCCATGCTAGCAGAGAACAAAAATTCAGAGTTCCAAGAATAAGATAAAATACAACATGCAAAAGTGAAAATACTGAGCAATAACTACAGATTACATATATCATGTACAGACAATTGCTCATCAACAGCAAATAAGTACCAAGCTCTCATCAACACAACAGTTTCCTAATAATCCTGTAGATTCAAGCAGAGAACTTCTATGGAAAAAGAAAGTGACATAAAGTGAGTAATTACTCACACAATAAATCAACATGAACACCAAAAAGCATAATCTGCAAAGACTCAGACAGCTTTAATTTCATAATCTCTTCTTACATACATATATTTAAGGCACAGTGTAAAACCTTTAAACATTAACCATAGAATCCTTACTGCTGTAAACACTACTACTGCCTCGTGACAGGTTGCCTTGGCAAGAATGAAATGTGGAACACATCTTCCTTGAAAATAATCAAGGAAAGAAAACAGAACTTGACAAAACTTCTTTAAAACTTCTTTTGTGTCTTAATTAGACACAAAAACTCAAGCTGCTATCTCCACATATCAGGGAGTCAGACAGCCTGAAACCAACTGTGCATACCGTATATATAAAACTTGCATTAAAATGGCACGCAATGTTTATACAAAACAACACCTTAAATCATACAACTGTGATTTTTGTTTTATAAAACAAACATTATTTCAGCATGATATAAGCAGAAAAGAAATAATGACCTGCCATTCACGGATTGCTGAGAGTGCTATACAGAATCCTGAGCAGATGGCACATAAGCTTGGTATTTTGGGTGGTTTTGGCATTTATTACCTACTATTTTTGAACTGAAGATATATGCAATATTATCTTTTAAAATGCAATTGCTTCAGAAGAAACAGGTCATTACACATTTACTTTTGGAGAAAAAAAGATGCTTTACAGCAAAAACATGAAAATAGAAGCTTTTTAAGAAAAGCTCAATGCTCCATTTAGTCATTTCCACCACACAACTTGAGTAGGATTTTCCGGTAGTCTCCTGAAGTATCACCCTGGAAAGGAATGCAGAAAAAGAAAAGTTAAAGAACAACCAAAAGAGATGAAGCCAGGGCTGAAGAACTAAGAACTTTCTTTCCAGGGATGATTTGGCTCTACTTTTACAGAAATAAGAAGCAGAGTTTACATATACATAACTGTGCATATGCATGCTCCATATTTACTGAAACCAAGTTTTGATTAAGTTCAATCCATTAAATGGGCATGGCCTGTTCTGTTTCTGAATGTCAGAACAAAGGAGAAGTGTGGAGGGAAAAGATGCACAGCTTTCCCACTAGTGTCTCACTGCTTTTTACTCATACATTGGTGGTTACAGGGCATGCAACTATTGTCATAGAAGCACTCCTTCAGAGTTACACACTTGGGAAAAGCTCCTGCTGGGTAATCCTCTGTGGCAAATGGCAGCAATGCCATATAGTTGCTGGCAAGCAAATCGAGACATTTGGCACACACCTATTCCTTCAGAATCTTTGCAGGATTCTTTCTAAATGCCACCAAGTTACAGCCCCTCAGTGTCAACAGCAGAGGGAATAAACTGGGGCTTAAGAGATTTGGCACCCTCATTACAAGGTAAATGAAAGTGGCACCAGTCACTTCCCTCCAGCTTGTACTCCCCTGCCATTGTCCAGGCACCCTCCTGACTGTTGCTAAGGCTCTTAACAACAGTAGGATGGTGGATCAACTGAGAAAGAATCTGAAGTTTAGTCTCCTTCCAAAATCTTGTATTTTCAAGAGAAAGAAATCCTCTACAAGATTTTTAGGAGCTTTACATTCTTTCAACACACATATGAAGTAGAGCACCACTGTTACTCAGCTGGAGGACTGAGTGGTTTCTACAAGATCATATTCAGAGACTGGGACAGAAACCAGGTCTCTGAAACCCCTCTAGACCAATTTCTCTTTCCTTGTCTGATAGCTTCCTTCCCATTTCTAGCTCATCTACCCCCATGCAAAAGCAAGTGCTGTCTGTTCTCTGCCCCGCCAGCCTCCACTATCCCCATGAATGCAGCAAACCAACACAGACAGCTACGCTCAGAGCAGTTAACAGCTACTCAGTGTCAGTATCCACCCCCCTGAAGGATGTCGTGGCAGAAAAGATAAAAATCTCCGAGCCTTACAGTGATATCTGTGTAGAGGGATCTGCCGTACATCCGCTTGTATTCCGCACGTATGTCCAGCAGGTCAACCTCGCTGCGCGACACCATGATTCGGATCAGAGTCCTGTCTTTTGTTCCTGCTCCCTGAAATGAACAGAACAGCAATGTAACGTATCAATGACGGGTGGAAATGCTGTATGTTACAGCACTGGTTAAAGATAAAATAACTCATCCCCCCCAAAATGCCTGTTTACTAGCAGAACCCCACTGACTTCAATAAGCTTGAAAAGAATTTGGCCTATCACGCTTCAACAAATTAAATTTCATGGTAGGACACTAAGTAATTTCTTTGCACAAGAACAGTTCGGAAAAAAAAGAAGGGGATTGACAGTGGTACAAGGGGACAGGAAAATTTAGTAAGTTTAATGGCCTATTTATTTATTTCTGCTAGACCTTCCTACTTAAGAGATACCAATTTCAATTAGTTTTAAGCATATTTGTGTTTCACCAAGTGAAGACTTTGTTTTATGTATGGTTGTTTTCATCTCTCTGTTAAGTGGATCAAATTAGCTAAATTCTTCCAGCCTTTCATAATAATGACTGCATCGTGTTAGTCATCTGCCCACTAAAAAATGTAATCCCTTCAGATGAACAGTTCATTCCAATGAGCTGTACAAGAATTAAAAAAACCCCACACTATAAGTTTATGTAACTTGTCATAGGCACTTACCTTCATAGCTTTCTGTAATCTCTCTGCAAAAAAAGCTGGTGTATTCTTGAGACACTTAACTGCAAAAAGAAACAGTATTACAGAAATCAGCCATTCCTCCTCAATCAGAACTCAGTAATTTTTTCAGTTTATCCTATACAGTCACATGCTTTAATTTTACATAAACATACACTTGATACAATGCAGCTTCCACTCCTTCTGTTAGTCACTGAAATATTTTTTAATCCAAACAGTAGCTGCAATAAAGTTAAAGAACCTACACTTCATGGCTCAAAGCAAACTTTTCTGTCACCAGAAACCATCTACTGTGATGCAGCCAAAATGAACCTTCAAAGTCTAATGACCAGATTCCTGCTTACAAAGGAAAAAGAGGGGATGGGAAGGTGGCAGAAGACTTGAAAGAACATATAGTGCTCCTAGCTTCTTCTTAGCTATGAATTTTCAAGCCATGCACGTGCAAAGTGTGGCCACCTACGATAGCAGAGAATCTTAGGTGCTTCCTTCCTCTTAAGGGTGAGCTGTCACAACCCTTATTTTAAAGTTCTATTTTAGCCACCAAGTTCATTAGGACTGAAAAATTCTTAATGTGCTCATTTAGTAATGACCGGATTTTATATTTAATTAGCACAGTTCATTAGAAATCTGAAAGAGCAAAATCTAAATCAAATCACTGTCATGTTAATCAGGATAACGAAAGAATCCTCCATCACTCATCAGAATTGAAATCTATACATTGATGCAATGTTGGTTACAAGTAAACAATCATGCAATCTGTGGCAAACTACAGAGAACACAGACCACGCTTGACATCTTATAGCACAGAAGGGTATCAAAATCAATCACACAAAATCAATACAGAACCAAAGGGGTAAACCTAAATATTATTTCATGGCAACACACATTCTATATAGGAAGAAGTACTTTTCTGAGCAGGAAAATGTAGATGAGAGATAGCAGTTCATCACACAACTGTCAATGATACATATAATACTACTCAAAAATGAATGACAAAATGAAATGCACATTTCTGTATCACTGCATTTAGCTAAAACAACACACTTGCACTTTAAGATGTTTAAAGATGTTATTGTTAGTTACCAGTTGTACAATCCAGAAAGCTTTAAAGAAAGCAAAATTAAATATTTTCAATTAGAAAACCTTTTTTTCCTGCAAATAAGGTTCACAGAACAAATGATGTTAACATCATTGACTGATTCAGATATAAGTCCATATACATATAAATAGAAAAAACTCCACAAAATCTATTCAATAAAGGGAGTTATTCAGTGAATATTAATGACAAGCCTTGTTCTGAAGGCTAATGACTTGTTTGCAAGACACAGTCTCAGTTTTGAATCTGTATCTACATGGAGACCTGTCAAGTCACTGCAAAGCTCCATTAAGTCAAATGACTTCCAAACTCTGAGAATAAAGTTTCTTTACCAAGGCAATCTTTCACTACAGACACTGTGAAATACCTCTTTTCCCTAAGCT